AGGAGCTACTAGTAGCTTCTTGTTCCCAGCAGTGATGCCAGGAGCTATTAGTATCCTAGTAGATGTGGGATGTGCTCTGAGCACGGCGCTTATTCACCTGCTATTAGGTTGGTCCTCCAATGTATCGCCGTCTTTTTGGCGGGAACATCTGGTGCATAGTGACTGACCCCCGAGCCGTTTTGCGAATGTGCACCATGGTCAACCAAACTGTATCAAAGCCAAAGTACGAGCGTTTCATGTACAGATTCAATACAATGTCATATGCTGTATGTGTACATATGGCTGCAGCAAGCACAAAAGATGATATCAGCAAATATGTTATGTTTTTGAATGAGCATCAAATTGTGCTATACCGGGACCACATGACATGGAACTCTTGTTTTTGAACCGTTCTCATCTCCAGTCATGTAATAGTGTTGCCTCGCCATGGACATGACATAGGACGGCCTCTTTATTTAAACTTTAAACCCAGCTTCGTCCTGGCTTTGCCAGAAGGTTGTTTTTAGCGCACAAATCTCCAGTCATGCGTTTTGTCCTGCATTTCTACAATTCCAGGAATCCTTAAGAGGGTGTTGTAAGTTTCCTGATTTTGCTAGTTTTGGCGTCATGACTTAGGACTTGTGGCTTTTGGCACATTTTACTCTTTCCTCATGACATGGGAGTTGTGTTTTTGAGCATACCTCCGACAAATTGTTAAGTTGCTTGAGTTTAGTGTTTTTGCTCGCAAGAAGTGTTTTGCACCAATGTTGTTTGGAAAAAATGAAAGAAGTGTTTTGGTGTTTCCGTGGCCAAGTCTTAAAACACTTCCACAACCAATAACCATTTGACCCTTCTTCTCACCCTCAATACCCTGAAACACTACAGCCATCAGTCACAAATTCCCAAAGCGCAAGCACCAAATGCCGTTTTTCTTTTGACAAAAAAATGCAAGCAGTCTCACTGATCCAAAGATCAGCTCTTCTTGAACAGCTTTCGCAGGTCTTCAAACAAACTTCCTACAAAGTGTTTACAAAGTTTTGGATCTTTACAAAAATTGACAAAGTTTTGGAATTACAACTTTTTAACCAAGTTTTTGCATTACAAAGCTTTAACAAAGTCTACAAAGTTTAAAAATATAAATAACAAACTTCACAAAGCTTTGGACACTTACAGTACATTAAATTCTACGAAGTTTTTACAAAGTATTGAACCTTTAGATATCTGAACAAAGCTTTGGACATTTATCAAGCTTTGAACAAGTTTTGGAATTTTACAAAGTTGTTACCAAGTTATTGAGTTTGAACGTTTTTACAAAGCTTTTACAAAAGTTTTTGATGCTTACAAACTTTCTACAAAGTTTCGGATTTTTTCAATCTGTGTCAAAACTTTGTAAACTTTACTCTTTGAAAACTTTGCAAAACGTTGAAAACTTTGTAAGAACTTTGTAAACTTTGTAAATACTTTGTAAATTTGTAAAAGCTGTGTAAGCTTTGTAGAAACTTTGAAATTCTGAAACTTTGTAAACTTTCAAAACTCTGCAACAACTGTGTAAAGATTGAAAAAACTTTGCAAACTTTGTCAAAACTTCGTAAACTGTTGTTAAAATTGTAAACTTTTTAAACACTGAAGCACTTTAAACTTCGTAAACCTTTGTAAAAACTTTGTACACTTTGTAAAACTGTGTAAAAACTGCGAAAACTTTGTGTAAAAATTTGTAAAATGCGAAAACCTTGTCAAAACTTTGTAAACACTTGTAAACTTTGTAAAAACTTTGTGAACTTTGTCAAAAAGTTTGTAAACATTGCAAACTTTGTACACTTTGTACTAACATTTTGTAAACTTTGTAAACAACTTTTAGATGTTGTAGGCCTTCGTAAACTCTATTTAAAATAACGTTATAGACTTCGTAACACTTTGCAAACTTTGTAAAACGTTTTTAAACTTCGTAAACTTTGTCAAAACATTGTAAACATGTTGAAAGACCTTGTGAACGTTGTGAAAACTTTGTAAACTTTGAACACTTTGTAGATTTCCTAAAAACTTTGTACAAATTGTGAAACTGTACAAACTTTGTAAAAACTTTGTAAAATGTCGAAAGAAACTTTGTAAACTTTGCAAATAAATAAACTAGCAAAACTTTGTAATCGTTGTCAAAACTTTGTAAACTTTGTCGAAACTCTGTAAACTTTGCAAGACTTCGTAAACTTGGCAAAATCTTTGTAAACTTTCCAAAATCTTCAAAACTTTGTAAACTTTGTAAAGACTTTGTAAATTTGTGTAACAAAAGGCAAATGTCGCAAACTTTGTCAGAACGTTGTAAACTTTGCAAAAACTTTGTAAACTTTGTAAAAACTGTGTAAACTATGTAAACTTTGTAAAAACTTTGTAAAGTTCTGTGAAAGAAGTGTTTTTGCGCGATTTTTTGATTAAAAAGAAGTGTTTTTCATGTCATTTGTTGTAAACACAAGTGTTTTTCACCAGCCATTTGTAAACTTTGTAAAAACTTTGTAAACTGTGTAAAAACTTTGTAAACTTGAAAAACTTTTGTAAACTTTGTGGAAACTTTGTAAAAACCTTGTAAACTGTGTAAAAACTTTGTAAACTTGAAAAAACTTGTGTAAACTTTGTAAAAACTTTGTAAACTTTGTAAAAACTTTGTAAACTTTGTAAAAACTTTGTAAACTTGAAAAAGCTGTTGTAAACTTTGTAAAGACGTTGTACAACTTTGTAAACTTTGTACAATCTTTGAAAACGCTGTAAACACTTTGTGAGACTTTGTAGACTCTGTAAAAATTGAAAAACTGTGTAAATTCCGAACTTTGCAAGAACTTTGTCAAATTCCAAAGCTTTGTAAAATCGTTGTAAACTTTCAATACTGTGCAAAAACTGTGTAAACTGTAAAAACTTTGCAAATTTTGTGAAAGCTTTGTAAACTATGTAAATACTGTGTAAAGTTTGCAAATGTTTGTACACTTTGTAAAAACGCCATGTAAAAATTGTAAAATGTGCAATCCTTGTAAAATTTGTTTATAAACTTTGTACACGCTTTGTAAACTTACTACTTTGCAAAACTGTGTAAACTTTGTAAAAACTTTGTCAACATTGCAGCAACATTGTAAAACTTTCAATACGTCTTCAATTGGTTTTTAAATGGTAAAACCTTTGTAAACTGGGTAAAAATTGGAAATTGTTCAAAACTTTGTAAACTGTGTTAAAATATTGTAAACTTTGTAAAACTTTGTAAACTTGGTAAGCGGTTGTAACACTTTGCAAACTTCATAAAATCTGTGTAAAACTTTGTAGTCTTTGTACCCACTTCGAAAGCTTTGTAAAAACGTAGTGAACTTGGTATAAACTTGGTAAACTTTGTCAACACTTTGTAGACTTTGTAAAACATTTTTAAACTTTGTCAAACTTTGTAAGCTTTGTCAACCTTTAAACTTGTAAAACTTTGTAAGAACTTGGTAAAACTTTATTAAGACGTTGTAAAATTCGCAAACTTTGTAAAAAGGTTTACCAACCTTTTACGAAGTTTTGGAGTTCTTCAAACTGTTCTTCAAAGTTAGAGCAACGTTTTACACAGTTTTTAGAGCGTTTACAAAGTTTTATATTTTAACAAAGTTATACAACGTTTACAAAACTTTCACAAAGCCTTAAGAATTTGTACAAAGTTTGCAACTTTTGCAAAGAGTTGACAGAGTTGTCGAATTACAAACAAATTTACAAAGGTTTACAACGTCTACAAAGCTTTTACCATGGCCGTTCACTCACCACTCACGAGACAAACAAACCTATGAAATAGTCCTTTGGGCCTCGTATGTTGCCACTAACAGCGCAAAAAAACAAGACGTGTTTTATACCCTCTCTTAGTTCTGAACAACCAATTCTTCAGAGGTCCGCAAGGGTCAAAAACACTTCTTCTGCGCTAATTCCCCCGAAACAACGAACGACGGTCCCCAAGCAACTTAACACGACAAATCCTATGTCAGTGGCGGATAGTATAAACTATTTGACTGGTACTTCGGAATAATGACCCCATTAAAAACAAAAGCAGTTGCTTGTACACATTTTCCGTGGTACTTTGAGACTCCAGGTATGTTGGGTCTCGCTTTTCATTCCGGAAGCCCCCCCTATACAAAACGCCACGTCAACGGTCCTGGCCCAGACACAGCAAGGGTCCTCTGGCCAGGAGGAAGCAGCCTGGGACCACCGGTTGCGGCATCCAATCGATGAAGTGAAGAACCCGCCCTAAGAATCAAAGGACCCTCCAAAGCTACATAACAGTGTCTCCAATCACCGTACCTGAGAAGGTACGACTGGATCCCTAGGGATGGTACAATTCAGATCCTCACCTGTCACCCTTTGCTTGTGCGAATGACATGTACCAGAATCAAAGGACCCGACCTGTTCGGTGGTTCGGTGTGTACCCTCGGGTCCTTTCGGGGTTGTCGGGCGGGACCTGCGGTCGGGTCCTTTCGGGCCCCTCCAGCGAACGGTTTTCTCAGGTCCAATGATTCTTATAGGGCGGATCCAGCTTGGGCGGGGCTTGAAACATCAGGATGATCTGGATGGCTTGGGTGTCGGGACCATGTAGACGTCACGTCGCCATGGCGCCCGGAAGCGGCCGAATTCGGCCGCCATGGCGGCCGTTCGCAGGGTGCCCGAGCTAGAACCCCAGTCACAACCATTAAATGGTTGTTCCAACATGGCAATTGAAATCCTTAAGGCATTTTACATACCTAGCACTTCCAGTCCTGCCCTGGAGCAGGAGACCTGTCGACGTAGGCCAGCCCACCAGGACACCCAGTACCGGATGATCTTGGTAGGACATGGCGCTAAGAATCTGAGCCCGAACCTGGACTGGGTCCTAGCCCGCGCTGCGTTTCCAGGCCTTTTACAACTGGGTTTGAATTCCCGGAGCGTGGACAGGTGTGGAACCCAAACAGACTGGCATGTTTGGTGGTCTTGAATATTCACAGGTCAACCACCACAATGTGGATATGTTATTCTCAGACGCGACCCTGGACCCGAATCCTTTGGAGGGGTCGGACCCTCATATATGGAGGGGTCTGGGGTCTCAAATCTAGGTTTTGAGGGACCAAGGGCTGTGAACGGAGCGTCTGGGTTGTATATGTTTTTTCATCTGCTCTTTTCTATGTGGATCTCAAGAACGGGCTAATTCTTGAAACCATGGCAGGGGTCGGACCCGACACCGAAACGCAGGGGTCCGGGCCCGAACCAAACCCTATGTGTTTGAGGGTCCATACCACCAAACAGGTTTCTGGCGGTTTCAATGCCTGGACGGCCTAAGCATCGAGGAACACCTCTTGTTGGCCGTGGATCGAGAGGCGTGTTTTGCGGCTCGCATCCCGAACCGGACCCGACTGGACTGGTTGTTCCGAAAGGTTGACGCTACCTGGGGCCCTCATCTTACCATGAAAAATACGGGTGTTCACATACCAAAACCACGTTGCTTGCTAGGGAAGCACAAGGTTTTTGATGGTGAACTGAGGGCCCCTGGTATGGTTTTTTAATATGTTTTTTTCTGTATGCCGATGTTTTGGGGTGAGGCAAAAAAAGCTCGAACTGGAGCTCGGTCAGGAGATCCTCAGGTACCTGGGCGCGCCCTACCTGGGCAATGGAAAACATTGGGTTGTTTGGGTGCGCCCTCCAGCTGCCAAGAAGCCGAACCACCAAGCATTGGGCTGAAAGCGTCGAATCAGAAAGTTCACCTCAGGAAAGGCCGCGTTGAAATCATGCAAGGCTCGACCAGGCCACTGAATACCTGTGACCAGTTCTGTTTTTCGTTCGCTCCGATCAATCTCTACTTGAGGATGATCACTCGTCTTGCGGACACGAAAATTGCTTGCTCATGTTTCAATGGTCTTACGATCAGAAAGTCAGAACGGGTACAGGAGGCTCGCCACCGCTACTGTATGACGAACGGGGCTCCTGGCCGTATACTACGTTCGGAGCGATCGGACGCTACGTAACAAAGGGCATCGCCAGGTTTGGAGCGATCGGACGCAATCCGAAGATCAAGGCCCTAGACTTCCAAAAGCATTGAAAACATGGTTGACCTGGTTTCTGTAGTGTAAAATCCTTATAGTTGATTCGGTAAATTAGAGCCTACTAGTTTAAATATAGTCTAGTAGGGAAGGTGCACCGAAAACGAACTCCACCGGACTCTTCCTTCTCGTTGAGTGTTTCGCTCCCAACCCCCCACCCCACACGCCACCGGTGTTCACGACGCCCTTTCCAGGTGACAAAACCGATCGGGATTGGTGAGAAACCCCTTCGACCCCTCCATCTCCAACAAAGGTCAAGTGACCTTATAGGACCCTACGAAAGTACCTGGACCCGACTTCAAGTGCCTTAGAAAATGGGACATGACCCCATAAAAACAGGTACTTGCATCCATTTTCTGAAGTACTTTGAGACTCCAGGTATAGGATATGTGGGCACGAGAAAGCTCGTGATGACGGAAAGCGATGAATATCGCTTTGAGTTTCTCCCCGGTAGGTTTTGTTGGGGGGGGGTTGGGGGGGTGACAGTTTCGAGATTTTGATTTGCAGACTTTTGGGTATCTTGAGGCAGTACGTTGAAGTTAACGAAACACTGTAAAAAAAACTTTTGGCATCATTAATGTTTTTTGACAAACTCGGCCCCGACTTTCCACAAGGGCATCCGATACAAAAATGACAGAGACAATGCTAAAAAAGTCGGGGGCATTCCACAGAACCACTTGCATCACTACGAGGTGCATGGGAGGCACAAAGAGCACAGAAGAGACGGAAACAAAGCAAATCAACTTAAGATGAGAATTTTTTTGACACCAAGGCCCACAAGAAGACAGAAAGAGCACAGAAGAGACAGA